CGAGATTACTCAACATCGTTAATAGGAAAGATCCGTTTCGTCAAATCGAACCGTCGCTACCAAATATCACCCCCGTCGATCATCCACATCTCAGTGCACGTGAGACAACCTCGAAATCAACAGCGTCTACGCTAGAGTGCCAATGGCAATCTACTGTACACCCCAGTCCTGCCATGACAGCGAGCAGATGACCAGCGATGCCACAACTACCGAGTTTTGCACACGAGAAAAGTTGGAACCCTTTTGTTTATTTTGATACCGTAAGGTTCTACATCAAGTTTTTTAAATCAAGAAATAGTTCCAAAAATTAACTATTTCTGAGCTAACCAACTTGTTACAATACCTTACGGTATCATCATAAACAAGGGGATCCCAACTTTTTTCGTGTACACAAATCTGTATTTGTGGTATTGCTGCTGATGACGCCAATGCGCGAAAGCCACGGCTGGGATCCGACTGTACTGTACATTGGCACGAAACATATGAGCCGGAGTCTGGATGGACCAGAAACATCCCATCCAAAGCACTGCCTCAGCTTTCCTCCGCATCTTCTGCGAGTGAGGGGGCATCTTAAAATAACACCAAACTTGTAACTTCCACTCGTCTCCATAGGTATATTTATACATCTACAAAACACGGGCCGAGGGAGATTCAGTCGATCAGTTGGAAGATGAACTTCGCACCCTTTTTTGGCACGGAAAGTTCGGGCGCTTCTTCTGCTGATGCCGTGTAGAACGAACTAGAACCATGAGATATTAATTTACCAACATGATTTGTATTAATTACCGTGGGAAAAAGAACATCGCCTTGATGGCCGATGCGGTGCAGAGCCAATAGGATTTTCTGTTACATTTTCACAGGCGTTGTATGTCAAGGCCGTGATTTGAATTTCACTTTGGTTGCTATAGCTGTCGTGTGCACATTTCTTGTGGACTAAGTTGTAAAGTCTGTTCCATTTAGAATTTGGCCGCACAAAATAGGTCATTTCTCCAAGATAAAATAAAGTACAAAAACGCTAAAGGTATCATTTTGTAGGATTTTTATTTAGCTTTAAGGGAAAATGCAACAACAATTATTCGTCAGCTTTTCGGATGAGTTTTCTAACTTTTCGCGGAATACCTCTCATCATGTCTTGTACAGTAGTACTGTCAACCTCATCTACCATCCTTTTCCACCACTTCTGCAAATCAGATGGTGTTCTGATTGTTTTGCCACATTTCTTCGATTTGCGCTTGATAATTGCCCACAAATTTTCAATGGAACGAAAATCTGGTATATTGGGTGGATTGATACTTTTCTCAATAAAATCGACATTATTCTACAAGTCATAAAAACAATCGATGTTTTGATTCTAACTCATTATAAAATACATGCTTTTCCTACGAGTTTATGAAAAACCAGGTTTGAAATTTTAATGAATTATGGGAAATATATTTAATGGATACCCTATGTGGTCTCCTTTCATTGTTTTTAAAATGGTTTTGATACACCCTTTTATTGTCAACATGACTTAACTATAAACATTTCAGAGTTGGTTAGAAATGCTATCTAACATGAAGCTTTAGTGCGATAATTTATTAGCTAGAGAATGATCTTAGAAGAGGGTAGGTGGATAGTTCCGTTAGAGTACGGCAGTATGAAAATTGAATAGAAGTTGAAAATGAGCGAAGGACCATTAATGCGACAGTACAAAATCAAACGCACACCTTTTGCTTAGTTTGTGTTCAAATCTGCAGGCAAAATGTGGAATAGTTCTAGCGACGTTTCATCACTACCTAAAGGCCCACTTTGCCGAGAGCATTTCCAGTGGATGGTGTGTTATAATGCAATTCTTCTTTACCCAACTATTGTGTTGCTCCTCTCGCCATGACCAACGTGGTCATCTCAGAAAGAAAGCAGTAGGGTGGTTGTTGCGTGCTGTACCATCATCAGCATTGTTGACGGCTACTCCCGCCTTGAGTTTTTACATTCAAAGTGTTTTTATGTTACTTCATACACGAAGTTTGTGATTTTCAGAGTTGGTTGGAAATACTATCTAACATGAAGCTTTAGTGTGATAATTAATTAATGACCCTTCGCTCATTTTCAACTTCTATTCAATTTTCAAACTGTCGTACTCTAACGGAACCATCCACTTACCCTCTTCTAATATCATTATCTAGCTAATAAATTATCACACTTAAGCTTCATGTTAGATAGCATTTCCAACCAACTCTGAAAATCGCAAACTTCGCGTTATATACAGCGTCAAATGTTTTGAAAAAGTGGAAACTGTTCCTCAAGAAGGATTGCCTCCAAGCCAAGATCTAAACGTGCATCGTCATCTATATTCTGATCTTCTTCTTATCTTCTTTCTGTTCTGATGACGATGTTTCATGGCAACCCGATACTGGTTGTGGGTTTGATCCTCTACGATGCGCAAACAATGATTTGAAATGTTTGTTTTTGTATTTCCGGGAGCAATATGTTTATTATTTTAATAGTATTCTAATAACATAGCACTTTAATATTGAACTCCACATACTATTCTGACCAGTGCTTTCTTAACACGAAAAACATAAAACGTATAACGTCTGACAGCAGATGATGCTATGACCCTCTTATCTCCGCATTTAACTTAGATTATTTCATAATTCTGGCTAGTTATTCAAATTAACCAACCAACCGACAGATCTTCAGCAGCATTTCATCTTTTCTAAAGGATAGGAAATTATTTTGCTACCAAAATTCCATGACTTCAAAATCCTGGAAACTGCATAGGAACAACCTGCATGGCTAGTTTTGAGTTAACTTCATTATTGCAATACATATTTTGCAATATTCCAATGCTTATCTCCAGCTCCTAGAAAACTTTACTCGCAGCTTGGCTCGGCTTCATTGCAAAGGAATAAACAAGCAATTTCATTAATGCTCGTTTATTCCTTTTCAGCGGGAGGCAAGCTAGGAAGTTTCGCAATTCAATTTTCAGCATGACTGAACTTAAATTCATATTCTAGATGCAATGCCTATCAGCTGAGTTCCGCATCATGAACACGCCTTCCAGTCGAGTATTTAGGCTTCTGGCGCTTGATTAATGGAACATGTCCCTTATGTTTCGAGCTAATTTATGTGTTTTTATTTTTATTTTGTAATGTACCGAAGATATTACAGTAATTACAATTTTCATTTTGTTATGGTAATAGTTAATCAAGTTTTTTTTAATTCACGAAAAGTTTCTGTTAGTCAGTATGAGGCATCCAGCTTTCGAAATACCCACTACTACCAACTACACAAGCGATAATTAAGTATCCTATCGTGGTCAGAAAACCCTTCGTGTACGACATTGAACCTTGTTCGTTGGTACCATTATTGAGACTGTTTATAGACCAGACCCAATCTCACGATTTTACCCACTAGCCTCCACTCTCGCATTATGAGCCGTACGCGAAATTAAGGAAACAGTAAATGTTGTAAGCATCATCAGCGAGTTCTATTGAATTGCGGATTTTGCTCAAGACAGCAACGTTGCCATAGAGAGTGGCATGAAAGGCACACTTAAGAAGCACCACTCGAGAATACTGTGCTCCGAGGACAACGACGCCATAACGATAACAACAACGACGACGACGACGAACGATGGTGGTGCTGAATCTCTGCTTCTGGCGATGATATCGCAAATATTTTTCCCGCACGGTCAATGGGCATAACTCAGTAGCTAAGTCGAATTCAACTCAAAATTGCAAATAATGAGGTTACTCAGCGAGTGAGTACAATTTTCCTCACTTTTCCAGGAAAAACAACTGCTTGAATATGAGAAATATTTACCTAACGGGTGTTCAATAAAAAATGAGAATGATTTCAATACCGTCCAGCGCTCTTGTGAGAGCATCGCGACTAAGTTGCGTCGTACGGCTGGCCAAGGCCCCTTCTCCAATATTCATTGACTTTTTTTTGAAGAATAAACATTATGTTTTTAGTAAAAAAATACTGAATTCGTATAAAAAAAATGTTTTTACTAGCTATATGACCAAAAAAAATGCTCATTTTTTTATTGAACACCCGTTAAGCTCTACTCAGTCTGAGTAGGGGTTTTGATCTAATTTTCCAACAAACCGCACTTAATCCGAGGCATTACCTCTCTTTTTCGAACGGGTTTGAACAAAAAATGTTTCTGTCAAAGATGACTTCTAAATCTATGTACCGTTAATCTTTGTTGAGATATTGTCAAAATCTAACACTGCTTCTTGATTCCAAATTCGTCCAACGCATTGAAACGCCATTAGATTTTCTTTGTCCCACGGACTGCATTCAAAATAGATTCGCTAAAAGCACTTCTTTTGTTTTTGGGAACAATGAGTGTAAATATCATGCAGTGCGCTCTAATAGGCTTTGTGTTTAAGCTTATGTACTAACGCATCGGAACAAACGTATTATTGATTTTTGCACGGTGAAATCATTAATATTATTGATCATTGATGCTCGATAGAACGGAAATGGGCGATTCGAACATTTAAATTACGTTATTTTCTTCTTTGTGAGGATCTGTGAATCAGCAATGATAGTTCAACTAGCAATGTTGCTAGATTCACGAAAATGGTTTGAAAAAATATTTAAAATAGGTAAAAAGTTATTTTGCCCCGTTATTTTACCCCATATTCCCCTGCTAATAGATTGAGTGAAATATCTCTCAATTTTCCCCATATTCATGAAGTTTTCAGGGAAAATCGAAAAATAAAATCTCTCAATATCCCCACTCTTGTAAACTTGACTCAATTTTGAGTTAATCTGATTGGCCGTGCATGGCTGCTGGGTGCAATCACTCAAATTAGCATTTTCTCCAGTATTGGACGCTATTGAACTATAAATAATGAAGCTCCATTCAGATAGAAAGCGTGGCTGGAGGGTATCGTTTCCCGCTGATTGAAAGATTATCAATTTTATTAAATATTGACTCGTTTGAATATGCTGTTATTGATCATAAATATTTATACTTTCCTTTGCAATTTCTATTTCTATTGCAGATGAGAAATATACCGAAAAGCATCGCGATGAAGCTATCCGAGAGTAAATCCGACACATCAATCATCGCCAACCTGTACAAATCGATCAACCACAACTATCGGAGGCTGTCCAACACGAGCAGCCTTCTGCATCGGATTCCGGACATGGAGATACCGTTCATGAACATTGCCGACGAGTACGACACCGAGAAGACAATAGCGGAGGGTTGTTTTGCAAAAATATTCCTTGCTCACCACCGACCAACGGGGACCACAGTTGTGCTCAAAGCAATACATACCGAGCTAACCACGCTGAAGGAATTCATCAAGGAGTTCCACTACAACTACCAGCTCAGTCATCATCCGAACATTCTTAGCTGCTATCAGGTTAAGTTCCAAACGAATGAATACTACGTCTACGCCCAGGAGCACGCGCCGTTTGGAGATTTGGCGGCAAATGTAGGTGCAAACGGGCTACAGGAGACGAGCTGCAAGAAGATTGCTGAACAGCTGAGTTCAGCACTAGGATTTATGCACCTGAAAGGATTGGTTCATCGGGACCTGAAGTTGGAAAACATTCTGGTGTTTACACCTGACTTTTCTCGAGTGAAGCTGTGTGACTTTGGAACAACCACCCGCGAGGGCATCTTAGTCAATAAGAACAACAAAACGTGGATATCATTCCTACCCCCAGAAGTATTAGAGGTTGTGAAAAACGAACGGTTCATCTGCAAGTCGTCGTCTGATTCGTGGCAGTTTGGAATTGTACTGTACGTGTGTTTGATTGGATCGACACCTTGGAAATCAGCCGATTGGGTGCGTGATCCCAAGTACGCCGCCTTCATGAAGTACCAGAAGCGAGAAACGACCAAAATTCCGGAAAACTTTCGACGATTTACACCTCGTCTACTCCGAGCATTCCGGCGGATATTCGATCACAATGAAGAAGATCGAGCAAAGGTCAGTGACATAATGAAGTACATGAAAAACAAATGGATGGACAATAAGATCACCACTTCGAAATCCACTTCGAACATTGCAAGCAATACTCAGCAGCAGGCGTCCTCTGATCAGGACTCCATCAAGTACATCAACCATCGGGAAAGTCGAAACTCCTTCGACGGAAGGCTTCGAGCTCGGAGAATGACCAGCTTTGGAGGTATGACGCCGGAACCGACTCCAGTCTCCGGTGCTGATCCAGAATCAATTCGGAACAAAGTATGGGAGTGGCTCGAATCGAACGATCTGAATCGGCACGACAGCATGGACGATGTGGTGGACTTTTCCTTTTGGAACAAAAGCGAGTCGAAATCCTATCAGTACGCCAAACGTGAATCGATTATCGGAGCAGCTTCCACGACGACGACGACGACCTCAATGACGTTAACGACCGCCGCGAGGGAGACAAGTGGTGCAAGCAGTGGACTTCGCTATAAATAGATTTGTTGTTTAGCGAAAGATAACCTCAATAATACTCCGCCAGAGAAAGATCGATCCCGAAATGTAACCAGTGTTGTAGTGAAGCACCACCCAGTGCAGCGCCAATGTTCGAATGAGCATCTTTCCTCACTAGATACAGCAGAATAAAAATTAACTCCTCCCGTCGTCCGGTAGAACATAGGTAGTACATGTGATTATATTAATTATATGTGTGATAACAGTGAGAGAAACGTGAACATCAGTGAAGTCAGCTAAAGAGCGTAGATGGTACAACAGAGAAAATATAGTTTGTTAGTCTTTTAGCAGGTGATAGAGTGTTTAGGACGATATATATATATTTATATACATACTAGAAGAACATTGGAAATGAAACGGTTGGAAAGCTAGTCAGAACGAAATGTTCATCGTGTAATAATTGTTTCCATTAAATGTTATGTTGATAATGTATGTGGCAAGGGCGAAATAATGGTATGTACTACAAATATTATTTGTAAACGTCTCTAAATTATACAGAAAAGTCGTATTTTGATGCGCTCTAGAATTGTTTATAATAAAAAATATATAACTTAGCAATTGATAACTGAAAGGGTTTTTGTTTTGTGTTGAAAGAAATATACATGAGGGGTGATGCACTTATTATATCACACGCTAAGGGGGGAGGGGGTGTAATATTCTGTGACAAGCAATGCATTAGGTATATGAGAAAGGTGATGAATGAGAGGGGGGGGGGGGGTAAGTGTTTCCTCAATTTAGCGAGACTTTATTAAATCATGGCCTACAAGCTTGCTTCTCACTGCTGGTCTCGATTTAAATCAGGATTGATCTTTATCTCATGCCAAATTCAGCTTAACAATAACAATCGAATGACTGATGTGTGTTAATTTGCAGTTTTTTATCCCTATTTCTAACGAGAAACATTGATATTTTCATTGGACATCCTAAATCAAAACAAACTATTCCTATAAAATTTATCATCTAATTACTGTCCGAAAATGTACAGTTCACGCATATCTTATTTCATGAAGTTAATTCTTGTAAAAAATGTATTCACTTAAAATCATTTGATCATCATTAAAGAGATTGAGCGTATGTTCATCAGATGGCACTGAAACTCCACTTTAACGCAGAGAAATGAAAAAGACCATATTAGCAAGTTCCTCTTCTTTCCTTTATTTAACGTGGGGGCTCAGTTTCGCAATCGGGTGCCGATCACCGACGTGCATCAAAACAATGCCAAATGGCTTGGCCAATCGGTAATTAATCATCAACGACGTTCGTGTGCCAGAAGCCGAGTTCACGCCAGGAACATATCGAGCCCATCAACACATGGGCCGGGACCAACGGTTTTACTTCCCTTCCGAAGGAAGACGTGACCCCAGATTTTTTTGCTTCAGAAAAATCCCAACGACCTCGGCTGGGATTGAACCAGACACACTGGGGGGAGCAAGCAGTCCGCCTACCACTCAACCACTGGCACCGTCTTACATTGTTGCAACACCTCAGTATGTTATGAGTAGAGTCTGATACATTTACAATGCTGATAAGTTGGTGACTTGTATATGATCGTCATATGTTGAATGAAAATCGGTCAAATTATACGAATTAACTGAAATGGATTTGAAACCCATAAGCATGAGCTTTACTTTTTACAACAGTATCATACACATGTAAAATAAATCAATATAATTAAAATGTATATGAAAATCACATGAAATTCACTTCTTGTTTCGCCACATATAGGTAGGTATTTTCATTCAAGCTTTTATTGATTATTTTGTTGCCCATTAGGATAGCTCAGATGGCAAGGCAAGCGGCTGATGATCGGAAGGTCATGGTTAAAATCCCATGCAATGAAATTTGTAGAGAGTAAATTTAATCATTATAGGGAAAATGGATGGCCTAAATGCTCCTAATTTGGGTCCATACATAAATTCAGCAATTGACTAAATTTCAATAGCAAGCAAAAATATTCATTAGTACCGTAACAATGACGCGTTCTGGTTTGCAAATGCCATGAATCTTAATACGACTTGAAATAAATAAAACGCATCATGTGACACATCAAATGGCATGAGAATTCAAAAAACCAGTTCAATGGTTGTAATAATCAGAGCACAGGACTATTGAGGCCACATCCGGCCATGTTCCGGAAACCCCAGGCCCCAGTTTATAGCTTAGGGCCAAAATACAGAATTCATCTATCTCTTCCCATCGTATGACCACTTTAATCAGAATTTCTATTAGTAGGAAGGGTAAAATTTTATCGTTGGAGGATTAATTTAGCTATGTTCTCAATAAAATTGTGGGTGGGACAAAGCTTAGACTGTCCCACCCATATATTTGTGCGTAGGACATGTCCCACATGTCCCACCCACTCCTCGCTGATCATTCATAAGTTTATAACCTTCTAACCATCTCTTATTCGTAAAGAAGTGAAAAAAAAAACACATTGAATATAGCGTTCACTGAATTCAAAAGAAGGCCTATTAAACCAAAATCACGTGTTACCAAAAACGAAAAAGTACTGTACTTATTAAGCTTGCTACACAGCCATAGAGAATAACTCAGAGAGGGATAGTCACTTCTACTAAGAGGTTTGGAGAAATTTCTTAAAACTGCAGGAAATCAGCGCAGAAATTTCTCATACAACTTAGCTAAAGTGACTCTGTACACACTATAACAATCGATTTCTTAGGATGAAAATAACTAATTTTGCACGTGACAGAATACGTCTTTGACATAGAAGATGAGACGTAAACAAACATGTCATGTGCTCCGAGAGTGAAAAGTTCGCTACTCGACGAAAAGTACGTTCAATTGAGCTATATTTCGCGTCTGTTATAACTCAAATTTAAACGGCGCCGGTGATGTAGTGGTAAGCGTGATTACCTCTCACCCCAGCAGGCCTGGGTTCAATCCCAGTCGGCACCGCCGGGATGTTCTGTGAGGCATAACATCTCTGATCACGCCTTCCTTCGGATGGGAAGTAAAGCCGTTGGTCCCCGGTTCATGAGTTGATGGGTCGATAGGTGGTAGGGTCCAGGTGTGGGAGCTGCCTTCCTGGCACGTCGGTAGCATTGGTGCTCAGCACGGAAAACAAGATCGACGGAAAAAGCAAACCAAAGGAAAAAAAAATAACTCAAATTTATGTCAAAATTAACACTCGTATATGTCACTTTCAGAGCACCTAAATGTACATGAATTTTTCTAAGTGTGCAGTATTTGCCTCCTCCGATTGTAAAACACTCCATCATTCAGGTTTTTAAAAATCATTATTCTAAAAAAACTGATTTTGAGTTCATAAATCATAATCAAATCAACATGTTCAAGCAAGAGCCCAAGAAATGTAGTCAAAGTCTTTATTTCTACACCAAAAACCTTATCTTGTCTATTTAACATTCAAAAAGTCTATGGAAGTCTCAATTGATGAAGTCTTCAAAAATCTTCACCAAAAAATGGATTTTTTTCAAAATGTCCGTGTTGAAAAAATAGCTTCACAGTTTAAAATGTCTTCAAAATGCAGACATGTCACCAAATCTCACATTTCTGCTATATACGCAGATCGAGTGATTTGGTATTATAGCCAACACGGCCAATGAAATCGATCCAAATTTGAGATCAGTTTACTCATTAATCGCAAAAAGTGCAGGAATTCAGTGATGAGTAAATTTGCCTTATATTTTCCTGTGTTTTCTTTCAAAAATCTGCGGGAAAATGAATAAAATTGACAACCATTTTACTCTGTCTACAAGTAAAACCAATATTCTGAGTGAATCCAATCTCGACTTATCTCATATTCGGTATTTTTTCTTGGAAAAACTACAAGGGACAGCCCAATTGGGTTGTACGCAATGTACGTCATCATTGCGTACAACCCAATTGGAAAACAAGGACGTGGTATGATATATGATATATTATAAATATTTTTGTTAACTGCAGTCGGAGCTAGTGTTTTGTGTAGGAATAAGAATTTTAGCGGGGTTCTCTCTGTTTATACTCCTTAGTATGACTATGATTGCCCTGAAAAGAACCTTTTGATATGAATTTTAGTTGGGACATGTTCAGAAAATTAACTCTTTTGGAAAATGTTGGTGGCCCTGAAAAGGGCCGATGGTAGTACAGGCTTAAAGTCTTTGGAATATGATGATGACGTGTAGGCAGCTGCGTGTTCAGTGACGGCATCACGGATCACATTTTCTCGGCACACCTTCAGCACACCTCGGGTTTCCTCGCACATTAGACCAGAGATGAGCTTAGCCATAAGTCTGAACGGTTTGGTCAATTTCGATTTGATTCCACTTGGTAACCCAGGCTGGACTTTCGTTCCTAAATCGACGAAGATGCGCTGACCAGAATACACCTAGGTCCCGAGTTGTTCGGCAGTTGATTTTCACTGCCTTCTCGCAGACATATACAGCTGCTATCCTGATGTTTAATTGTGTGTGAACTTGAAAGGCGCTTATTCAACCTTTTGCCGGTTATCCAATAATCACTACACAGCTTTCTCTTGAAGCCGGATTAAATATTGTTCACGTATTTGTTTTTACTGTTGAAGGAATTTATTAAGTCTATTTTCCTGTGAATCAAATTAATAGACATTAGTTATAAGCATACCTTCAAATTATTTACCCTGCACCGGAACTTGGAATTGAACTCGAGACGACCACATTTGGCAAACCCTGACACTACCAACTTAGCACTTTGAACTGATGTAAACAAATCTACATGCCCTTCTACAACAAGATCGCTGAGTAAAGAGTGTACCGTCTAAAAATAAACCTAGTTGACTGTAAAAATGCTTCCAAGGTAGCGGTAACATAGTTTATTAGCTGAGTACAGGTTGTTTATTAGTTGATAAAGCACTTTTGATGTTTATGTTAATCGACAAGAGTGGTTGGTTGTGTAGAAGCCATAAAATGAGTAATATATTCACTTTGTTAGCTTTGTATTGCAGCTACAAGTTGAAAGTTGATTAGAATGTAAGTTAACAAGGTTAACCTCGATCATCCAACACTCAAGACGCCAGCGACCATCGAGGAATTCATCAAATCGCTAGGCTAAGCAGATCCACGCCCATCATCATAATCATCATAATCAATAGCCGGTAGCAACGACGGTTGTCACTATCGATAAACAACAACGCCAATGATCTGATGACGCAGCACTATCCCGAACCTCGGACCCGGACGACGACTCAGCAGCAGCGGCCTAGATCGGAATTGCTGTGTAACAACTTTAGGGCATTTACGATAGGTTGAATGTAAGCTTTTATTTACTGATTAAATCATTCTGTGTTTAACTTCCAAACAGTGCAGTTCGTACTTAATATCTTTGCTTCGAAAGTCCGCATGAGAAATTAACTTGTTTATTGGCTGCTGTTATTTAGTGTGACTGACAAATTGAATTAAGGTTGTGAAAAAGTTGAGTAAACGCTCTCCAAACCTATTTTGCTAGCTTCTGCTTGAAACTGTATCTGCAGTGCTACTTTACAGCACAACGCTGTAAAAGTTGGCTTATAGAGCTGAAAATGTCAGTTTGGGTCACTCCCAA